CTAGCGAACACAACAAACTCAATCAGATCTCAATTTACCCTCAAGTGCTAACAGTCAACTTCGACGGCATCTTGCCTGAGTGCTGAAGTACTACGAATTCCTCTGCTTAGTGCTACCATACACAATAAGTGACGACTTATTGCGACAGATACCACCAGAAGTGAAACAAACCATGAATAGTCTGATTGATCGCGTAATTGCTCAGTCAGACTTTAAAAAAAAGTTTGAGAGATGAAAACTCTCAAACAAACCCTGACTCATCAACACCCTCGGTGGCAGATGCTGGTGTTCAAGCACGACCACAAATGGCTGATGTTGGAATCGATAATGGTATTGAAATGACTGACGCTGCTGTTTCTGCTCACCCTGAGGTAATTGATGGATCAATGAACACAAAATTTGTTGATCATGAAGAGCAAGTCGAAGCTCGTAAATGGATCAAGGAGCTATTTGCGGGAAATGGAAACTGAGTTGCACTACGTATCAATCCTATCCGACGAAAAGATGGAAAGCTCAATACTAAGTTCTATCTCGGGGAAAATGATTCAGTAATAAATGTCAGAAGTGGTAGGTAGAAAGAATAAAAACTATCGTTTGACTGGGTCGAGACTGGAGACAAAATTAGAGATATATGGTACGGTGGAGAAAGCAATTCGGTTGATGAGATTAGTAATATGCGACTTGAAGACCCACTGTACCATGAATCATTAATACAGACAAGACTTGATCGCAAGCGTAAAATGACTAATCCGTCAGAGAATGACGATTCCAATCGATCGAAACAACGTCTCGAAGATAGTTATGAGCTTGACACATCCACCTCTACATCAAGCGATCAAAGAGATAGCAAATATCAATTAATTTGGATCCTCTTGAACAATAAGTCATTGCTTGAGTCAGCTGGGTTGCAGAAGGCACTTGAACCAGTCCAACTACTATACGAAACTTCAAGAAGATAACATTAAATTCCCTTTCAGACTAAATCCTATTGTTGATACTAAGGACGGAGTCAAACCTCATCCATCCTACTACTTTGGACAACCTACGGTATTAAAAACTTTTAACATTAGAAACGTTCAGGACAAGCCTATCTCAGGCGATGGATTAAAGTATCTAATGAAGACAATTAGATGGATGGATACATTCACAACTTTACTGGATGGATTTGAAGTGTTTGATCAATATCTACATGAAGAGCTCGATCCTAAGCTACGGAAGAATCTCGATGATAATCTAAAGATTATGAACGAGGTACTGCTCGCAAATACTACCCGCATCAAAACCTCAAAAAGTGATGACCAATACGTGGAAGATCCGCTTCCGAAGTTGCATTATGAGTCGGAAGCAGCTTTTCGGAAGTATGGCGAGGTTCAGAAGAGGTATAAAGCGGCAAAGTAGCGAGTGAAGAGCAGTAATTCGAAGGCTGCGCGATCTGCTTTAAGGCTTCTTCCGCTGTGAAGGCTACAAAAGCGGTATTCGATATTAAATCGAAGAGATATAATGACACCTCTGTTGCAGGCGTTGATGTCTTCAACGATAGAGCAAACGGATCAGTCCGTGAAATAGACCATGAACAGCATGCTTAATCAAGTCCGTGATAGCGGGCTTAAGTTAAGGGACGAGGTCTCAGAGGTGCTGGTATCACCCCGCTTGAAGGAGTTACACGTCACGGTAGAAGATACAACCTCAATGAGATCCAAGGCGTAGCAACTCCAAGTGCCTACACTTACAAAAAGCTGGGTAGTAAGTACATCAGAATACCTGATCTAGATTCTAAAACCCTTTCTGATCGTTCAACCCAATCGACGCAAATGCGGCCCAAAGAGGGGAATCAGTGATAATCTCCAATCCATGATTAAAACTCTTGCCTTCACGCAACATATTGATCAAGCTTCCTACGATAAACTCAGTATCGATGGTAAAAAGATTTTCAAGGAGATTTTTGCGATTACGCAACTTCAGTACAACTTCTACGACCGACTTGAGGACCCATTGGGTTCTCTTAGTGCCGGATATGATAAGCTCAAAGGCGAGCTCGAGTTGGGTAATGACAATCCTTCTATCATCAAGCAGCTCAAAAGTCTATCAGTGAATATGTACCAGTACTCTAACCACCTAATTTCTGATTCTGAATTTAAGGATATCATCACCCGTCTAATATAGACAAAATGTTCTTCTTCAATCCGAGAATTATTTCCGGCTCAGGCGGTAGCTATGGCGATAACGCTGATCTCAACGACGCTGAGCTAAAAGCCATCATGAAAAATCTTATCATCCATGCCCGCCTGTAGTGCCAAGATAATACCAGCCATGCCAAGCTAGCTGCAGAGCTGGCTGTTCTCGTGCATAACGAGCCAGCCAGTTGAAGCCACTGCAATAACGCGACTCACGATTACCATAACGTTAGTGCTGATGACAGTGCTAGCCATAACGACGCTTGTGTTGACAGCAACGTCAGCCAACCAAACACATATTGAGCCCTAGCTAGAGTAGATCAGCCAAGTGCTCACTTTATCTTTTACCTAATAGACTTCGGCCTTACTTCCAGGGGGCTGCCGACTCCCCCATCGTGTCTTCAATCCCTGCAGACACTACAAAGATATCTTTAGTAGTTATCTACAAACAAGACCATGGCTAACACGCGTTCTGGGAACGCGAACGCAACTGGAGGTGACCGTTCGAGTTCTTACCAACGACTAGTCCAAGTGATGGCTCAAGAGCTCGACCTGACGCCTCTTCGAGTGCCCAGCGAGTTCTCCAACAAGCAACCAACCTCGTCCACGTGCGACGGTGGGGACTTCTCTATCGGGTGACATTCATGCTTTGACACCGCTGTTCACGCCACTCCTACCGCAGAAAATCTCAAGCACTTCGCACGCTGCGTTGGTGCAACGGCGCAAGGATCGCCGAGACTATGAGGAAACTGCCCGTTCTCGTGCGAAGGATGGTGCGCACGATATAATCGTGCCAGTGAAGACTACTTTCGACCAAGGACTTCTCCGTTTGTGGTGCCGCTTGCGATCGCACATCGCAATTGACGACGTCATTAATGACCGCATCATGGCCGAGGTAGACAAGATTATTGCGAGCGTGAAAAACTACAATGTCCCTGATATCGACTATGAGATGCGCAGCAAATTACGCATGAACTTAAAGGAGACGGATATTAGTGAACGACTTATCCAGTACTTCAAGACGTGTCACGACATCATCGATGACAATGGCTGGCGTGTTTTCTTTGACGATAGCACCGGCAAGAAGCAACTATGCCGGATACTGATTGCTTCATTGGAACCGCAAGCACTTCGAGAAGACGTTGAGAGAACCGTCGTTTCCAGGCACGCAAAGCAAAGGAAGACGAGGTAGCTCTCCATGATCTTATACTGGAGAAGGCCTTGGAGCATGACAAGGCTTTCCAGCGTCACAAACGTGACAAGCGTGAGCGTAGCGACGGCGACTCCACGAGTCATTCCTCTTCGAGACCGAGCAAGTCGGCCAAGAATACGTCGTTTCGCAATGCCACGCGTTTGGTGAGCGCAGAGCCACCTGCAAAGACTTCGACGGAGCGCCCAAAGGTGCCGCTGAAGCCGTGCCCACACTGCGATGGCATGCATTGGCTTTCTGAGTGCCCAAAGGCAACAGATGAAGAGAAATCTGAAATTCGTCGTAAGCTGCGTGCACAACGTAGCAACGGCAGTAAGAAGGATGGCGCGCGTCTCAAAAGACTCCGCGAGTGCATTCCATCTGAGGAAAAGACGGTGACATTGAATGATGTCATCGAATTACCCTATTGCGCGGACACCGGCGCTGATCGAACTGCGATTAGTCGATCCCATGTGGATGAATTGCAACAACGTGATCCCTCGGTCAATTTGATCACTTTGAAAAACCCCGTTGTAAATGTAGCAGTGGGAAAACGGGAAATTACGTGCACTACATCGGTGCACCTTCGTGTACTACTGAACACTGCTGCAGGTCTGGTAGCACTCCACAAACCCGTGGAATGCCTCGTTATCGAAGACGACGAGCCTGAATTTATCTTGGGTCGGGACCTACTGAAGGCACTCGGCATCGACATCGACCGACAACTCGAGCAGCTAGTAATTCGCGATACGGATGAAGAAGAAGACCTTGTGGATCTCGATGAGATGCTACCTGGCGCTGGTCCTGATCCGACTGGCAGTGATCTACACAACGCAATTGAAAAGCTGATTCGCACAGCTCTTGACCATGGGTTTCCCCATTTACTCGCACCACGCCTGCGTGCAATAGTGCTCAAACATGATATCTGGCGTTTGGAGCTTGGCAACGACCCGCCTGCAAAGGTGGAGCCACTAAAGATTAGACTTAAGGACGGTGCAAATGCTGGCAAGAGCAACCAAGACAGTACCCACCTGCCGTACGGAAGTTCCTCGATTTAACGCGAGGCTTGTGGAACTTGGTTGGGTCTATGAAAATCCAAGTAGCCGATGGGCCAGCCCGGTTTTACCTGTACGCAATGCTGGCATGAGTGAGCAAGAGTATCGTCAAACCTGTGACTACCGGCTCGTGAATGATCTTGTCGAGGCGTTGATCAGCACGATGCCACACATGGCAACGCTTTTGGAGTATACGAAAGGCAAGAATCATTATGGCCTGTTCGACCTCCTGAAGGGTTTCTGGCAGCTTCCACTGCACATTTTGAGTCAGGAACTCATGTCCTACATCACGGACTGCAAGATCTTCACACCACGGCGTGTCTGTCCCCCAGGGATGCTGTGATGCTGCTGTCCACTTTCAGCAGACAATGGAGAAATGTTTTGAACCTCTACTGAACGATTTCCTAGTCGTCTGGATAGACGATCTTTTATTGTTCGCCGATGATGTGGAAACATACATGTCTAAACTGGAGCAGTTCTTTGACCTTGTAGCCAAGTACGGGTTGAAGTTGAGTGCGAAGAAGAGCAGTCTTTACCAGCAGACCGTGAAGTGGTGCGGCAGGATTATTAGCAGCGACGGCATTGCACATGACCCAGAGCGGGTCGACGCGCTCCGGTCGATGCCGCATCCGACAACAGCCGGCCAGTTGCAACAATTCTTGTGCGCCTCGAACTGGATGCGCGAGTCAATCGTTGACTACGCACGCGTGGTCGACCCTCTCCAACAAAGACTAGATCAAGCCCTGAGCAAATGCAAGAGTACCAAGCGCGTTGCAAGTGGGATCTCGATCGAACTATCAGAGAGTGAGAGAGCCACATACGATAAGACCAAAGTCTTACTGGCTACGACAGCGACGCTGGCGTTTCCTGACGACGCGGCGACGACCTGCGTATTCTCAGATGCTTCGGACAATGGATTCGCCGTAGTGGTCACTCAGGTCTCCGATTTTGACCCGAAGGTCGATGTGACTGAGCAACAGCACAAACTCTTGACGTGTGTGAGTGGAACGTTTCGTGGAGCCCAGCTGAATTGGACCATAATCGAAAAGGAGGCCTACCCGATCGTTGCGGCTTGTAGCAAACTGGACTATTTGCTGCTACGTACACGACCGTTCTGCTTATTCTGCGATCATAGGAATCTCATTCACGTGTTCGCGCCCCATGCAAGTGTCAAGAAACATATCCGTGGGAAATTGCTGAGATGGGCGTTGAAGCTGATGTCCTACCGATACGTGATAGATCATGTTGACGGGACTGCCAACGTCTGGGCAGACATGCTATCCAGGTGGGCTGGGCAACCAGCAGCCACTGTTCGATTGAAACGCCTCGCTCGTCGACAATCCAAGAGAAAGAGAAACACTACGAAGTCGAACATTGCCGTCATGTTACGGCCACTGGGCGCTGAAGGTTTTGTGTGGCCTACGCTAGCAGAGATCGTGGCGATTCAGCAAAAATACCACGCACCACCAGGAGCTGTGAAAGGTGATGACAACGCTTTGCGAGTGAAACAACGACTGTGGATCCCTCGGGCTCACATAGATCTAATCAGAAGGCTGTGTGTCATTGCACATTGCGGTACAGAAGGCCATCGGGGAGAACAGGCAATGGTCAATCACTTGCGGGGACTCTTCCACATTACAGACGTCCACCAAGTGGTGCATGAATTCGTGGCAGCATGCCTGCTCTGTCCACACGTGAAAGGTGGACGGATCATTCGCCGACCGTGGAGTGAAACGATTGAGTGCAACGATCGTAATGGAGTCCTGCATTGGGATTTTCTGTTCATGGGAGAAACTTTTGGAGAAAGCAAGTATCTCCTGGTATTGAAAGATCATGCAACACACTACTGCGAGCTGGTTGTTTTGTGACACCGCGGACAGCGCGGTGGCGACTGCTGCTATTCTTGATTAGCACAGCCGATTCGGAACTCCTCCAGTGTGGGTGAGTGACAACGGTAGTAATTTTAAAAAACGAGGTCGTGGCCGAGCATTCCAAGAGGCTCAGGACGCACCAAACCTTCACGCTAGCCTACAGCCCGTGGATCAACGGGTCGGTGGAAAGGGTGAACCGTGACGTGTTGCAAGTTCTACGAGCGATGATTCTAGAGTATAAAATCTCTACCAAGGATTGGGTCTACCTAGTTCCGCTGGTGCAGTCCAGCCTGAACCACACCGCCGTGCCATCGCTTGGAAACAGAGCTCCGACAGAGCTGTTCACAGGACTTCCGTGCCCAACACCTCTCGCTGAGTTCTACGACGCCAGCGCAAGGAAACTGGTGAAGCTGCCGTCAACTTCGGCAACCATCTCCCAGCACCTGGCCACATTGCGCGCCAGCCTACAGCAGATGCACAATCCAGTTGCCGACCAGAGGCTTAAGCAGCGACTGCTCAACAAGAAGAAAGAGCGTGGAGAGAACGTCATCAACTTCGACGTTGGGCACTATGTCCTACGATCGCGGGTCGACGAAAAAAAGGGCAACAAACTGCTGGTCACGTGGCAAGGTCCTTACAAGGTGATTCGTTCGGAAGCTCATTACTTCCGGGTGAGTCATCTAGTCACCGGAGATGAGTTTGACGTGCACCCGTCGCGTCTAAAGTTCTACGCAGACAGTAGTCTGGACGTAACCGAGGAAATCCTCGAGCATGTTGCCGCCCAAGGCATCATACTGGCCATATCTGAGCTGAAATAGCATCGGTGGAACGCCTCCATCAGCGACTACGAGGTCCTAGTAGGCTGGAAAGGCCTAGAGTCTGTAGAAGATTCGTGGGAACCTCTGACTTCTTTGGCAACAGAAGTCAAGGTTCTACTAGACCAGTACATACAAAGACAGAATGCCAAGGTACGCAAGTACTGGAACGATAAACAATCCAAATTTTGAATAAAAATTCAAGGTACTTTGGCCGCAATCATGATTTCTTTGTACTTCGTACGCGTTGTTATACTACCATGTAGTCAAAACATTATCCAATATATCGGTCCAACTCCGAGAGCAAACACATTATTCTTGGCTTTAAACAATTAAGTATAGGTCAACTTCAACTGTTTGCACCTGTAACACTTGTTACAACGCCGGTCCATGGGTACATCGGACCATTTCTACTGCCGACTT